CCAGGTTGGCCTCAAACTTTCTACGTAGCTAACTAAGGCTAGCTTGAATTCCTGATCCTCCTGCCTCCACCTCCAGAGTGAAGTGCAGGCCTGAACTACCACGCCCAGGTTGCAATCCTAAGTGCTAGAGTAAATCTAGGCAAGTAAACAATATTTTTTATTTGCTGGAAAACAATAATAGCTCTTTGGCAAGACTCGTTTTTACGGATATGGGAACTCTTGTCTAGCCCTAAACGTTTATTAACAATAAGTTTCAATTTCAAGATAATTCTGACCTTTAGTCATTTATTTGAAATATTGATCATGACCATTTTTAATAATACATAGTAATTAATAAAGTTATTAGCCAATAATCCATTTAAAGCCAACTCATAAGTTAGCCATGGTGGGACGTACTTTACTCAAAGATTACAAGGGACACGCAGGATCAACCATGAAAACAGCAGTTCGCCCTTACTGTGAAAACCTAGTTATGGACAAAGCAACTCCAACCACGCAAACTCCCACAAGTAGACCAACACACACATTCTAAACCAGATTGTGACCGATGGGCAACATGCACACAGAACTCCTGAAGACATGCTTTTTGTTTTGTTTTGTTTGCTCTTGAAATGGTCTCACTATGCAGCTCTGGCTGACCTTGAACTCACAGAGATTGCCTGCCTTGGCCTCCCAAGTGCTGGGATTAAAAAGGTGTATGTCACCATGCCCTTATACTACTTATAAGTAAACATGCAATTACATTTTCAATCTAAAGCTTTGCACTGAACTTTTAAAAAGTCATTGAAATAACTCATTTTTTCCCTCCCATAAAACTTTAAGAAATAGAGCTAGTGAGTATTTTTAAAGTTCCCTTCCAGTTATAGAAGTTCCAATTACTCAGCAGCGTTTTGGGTTGTCTCAATATTGCTTTAACACTGGTTAATGGACATTTGTTAGTTGTGGATGATTGCTAACTACTAAAAACCATTTGTAAAGGTTAATCCAATGGTTCTCAGTGGATTATTTTGCATCCTCATCAGACCTATTGGGAGATTTTTTTTTTTATTTATCACAACAGGATGGAAGGGGCTACTGACATCTAGAAATGCTCCTAAAAGTCCTACAATACACAGGATGGTTCCCACAACAACGAAAGTGTCAGCCGCGCCTGGGTTAAGAAACCTGGGGTTGATAAACACTGTTCAGGTATGGGAACTTGTGTTAAGGCATGGCACAGTGCTAGATGCTGCAGATACAGAGTAAAACAGCATGGATCTGGGAGTCCCAGTGACCTGTGTTTCACTCTTGGGTCCACCCTTTACTAAAATCTAACCTCAGGCAAACTACCTCGCTCTTCTGAGGCAATCATATATGTTAATGTGACTAACTGTGTACAACAGTAATGTCCAGTTAAAACCAGGGAGGAAACCATCAGTGTCCAGAGGAGCCCAGGGAGACATGACAACTCAGTGCAATAGTTATAATACCCTGCATAGGATCACTGAAGAGAAGACGTACAAAGAACACAACTAAAGAAATCTGGGTAAATTAGGACCTTTTTTGGTTAACAATCATCTGCCAATATTTGTATGTTAGTTCAGAAGGACCATACTTATGGAAGATATTCCACATGGACAGTGATGCCAAGTTCCAAAAGAAATTCAGTCAAAGACTGAAAAAACATGGGAAACACAGCAGGGGATTTAACTTTTTTTTTTTTTTTGGACAGGGTCTCACTATGTAGCCCTGACCAACCTTGAACTCACAGAGCTCCACCTGCCTCTGCCTCCCTAGTGCTAAGATTAAAAGCATGCATCACCATTAAATCGTTTAGGATTTAGGATAATTTTATTTAAGAAATACAATTCCCCATACAAGCCGTAATCTCGGCACACTCAGGAGGCTGAGGGAAGAGGATGTGCAGCTTGAGGTGAGTTTGAGCGACAACAGAAAACCCTGTCTCCATGAATAAAGAAAAAGCTGGAAGACGGGAAAGATGGCTCGGACGTTAAGAACACTTGCCACTCTTTCAGGACCGGAGTCCAGTTGCCAATACCCACATCTGGCAGCTCACAACCACCTATAATTCAGATCCACAAGATCTGATACACTCTTCTGGTCTCTGCAGTCATCAGCTCTCATGTGACACACACAAACTTAGACACACACATACATGGTTCTTTCAACACCACCACCACCACTGAAGATATGGGGGTGCCGTTCAGTAAAAGAACACTTGTCCAGCAAGCATGTATAAAGACCTGAGTTTGATCCCCAGCACAGAAAAATTATTTTTCCACGGTAGTCTTATTTTTTATTTTTTTCAATTTTATTTCATTATTTTATAAGTATTTGCCTGAATGTATGTCTGTGCACCATATACATGCCTGGTGACTCCAGAGGCCAGAAGGGGAGGTTGGATCCCATGGAACTGGAGTTACTGACAGTTTATGAGGGTGTTAGTCAAACCCAAGTCCTCTGGGAGAGAAGCCGGTCCTCTTAACTGCTAATTCATCTCTCCAGCCCCTTGACAGCAGTTCTAAAATCATTACTCAGGCTGGAGAGATGCTCCGTGGTTAAGAGCACTCACTGCTCTTGCAAAGAACCCAGTCTCAGTTCCCAGCACCCACACGGTGGCTACAGCCATCTGTAACTCCAGTTCCAGAGGATCCTATGCATCTTCTGGCCTCCGTGGGCACCAGGCACACACTTGGTATACAAACATGTATGCAGGCAAAACACTTACACATACAAAAAATTAATTACTTGGGGCTGGAGAGATGGCTCAGGGGTTAAGAGTACTGACTGCTCTTCCAGAGGATCCTGGTTCTCAATTCTTAGCACCCACACGACAGCTCAAGGCTGTCTGTAACTCCTACTCCAGGGGACTCAATGCCCTCTTCCGACCTCTGAAGGTACCAGTTACACATGTGGCACACAGACATACATGACAAGCAAAACACTAACACACATTAAATAAATATATCTAAAAGGTACTTTAAAAATTACTCAGAGAAATGTTTAGCAGACAACAACTGAAACTTCACGAAAACAGTAAAAGTCGAAGAGGTTTCTATTACAACCGGGCGGCTGAGGCCAGGTGGGGAACTTTCCTATACTAGAGAAACGGATACGGCAACACTTTTGCTGGATAATGCCTCTGACAGTCCAAGGTTGGTTTCCTAGCTGGCCTCAGAGAGAAGCTGACTCTGAGATGCCTCGGTAAAGGCTGGCTGTAGGTACAAAATACTGACAAGAACGATTTTAACATGGGCTAAGAGAAGCATCAACACAAGCAGGAACTGGCCCCCACTTAATTCAGAGATTAATGAGAAAGCATCTGGGAAGTACTCTGAGCTCCCTGGAAAAGTGACACCAGGCAAACTGGAAGCCTCGGGTTACAGTATAAAGGAATAAGAAGGTAACATGCTGCTTTCTTGTTGGGCTGTATTAAGACAGGTGTCTTAAGTTCTGGCTGAAGATTAGCACAAAACTCTTTTTCTTCCTCATAAATCAGGTTCCCGCTTGTGCTTATAGCCCATTGAAAGTATGTAAGAGTTACTAATCCCTGGAAAGGGGGAAGTACAAAGCTGCTTGCCAGAGCACACAGAGAGGGAATGGCACGGGACCAAAACCCTAGGCTCCCATTACCTTGCTCAGAAGGATGGTGACAGTGCAGCCCAGGCTGGAAGAGGCGTAAATAAACATTAGCAAACAGGAATTCCAGCTCTCAGACCTACGAGAACAGGCAGCAGACCCCTCAGCCCGCTATTCCTTGTGCAGAGGACACGAAGCGGTCTTCCTTTAATAAAAAGGTGCTAGCCAACAGGTCAGCTCTTCCCTCCCAGAGTCTTCTACACAGTTTTAAAATGTATTCCCCCTCACCATCTACAATCATGTTCACAAATGTCTAAAGCCCAGAACTTACATTTCAGCTGTGAGAAAAGACCTTCATGTTTAAGTAGGTGAATGTGGAAATCTCGTTTACCAGAAAGGGCCCAAAGCTGTCCTTTCAAGAGACAGAAGGATCGAAGCCTTTTAGATGAAAGCAGAATATGGTCAGTTTTTTGTTTGCTTTGGTTTTTGATACAGTCTCATCTTGTAACTCTGTCTGGCTTGGAACTTGCTGTGTAGACCAAGCTGACTCGGAATTCAGAGAACTGCCTGCCTCTGCCTCTCCCGTGCTGGGGCGAAGGGCGTGCACCATCCACTACAGCTGGCGTATATGGACCACTTTATAGTCTGCACTGGGAAAGCACAATTGACAAGTGGTTCTCTAGCAAAATTATCATTAACCTTTTGGAGAGTACGTGGGGCATTAATTAGTAAGTCAAACACAATAGTGGGGCCACTGAGATCCACTCATCTGACCTAGAGGAAGGAATCACTGTTGCACAAATTGGCGTTTTACAAATGAAAAGCTTTGGTAGAAAGCCAATTTCTCCAGCTCCAGAAAGGGGGAAAGTGGTTCCTTATCCAGACAAAGCCAAATATCCCAAGTCATGCGATTCACCCCATTTGCAGAAGTAGAGATGTGATAGGGTCGGAATTTTAGAACGGATTAGCTGATTCAGTTCAAAGATCTTAAACCCGCCCTCAGTGATTCAATAACTTTGTCTCCCTCCCAAAGCCATGTAACTATCAAAGAAAGAAAAAAAGGATAAAGCGGATTCACTGAGACACTGCTTGTACAGAAAAGTGCTAAATTCACACAACATATGTTTCATCTTCCGAATCTGGGGAGCCACCGACCTCCGGTCCTACCATGCAGTCAGAGTTCGTGCTCCCGACGCTGGGCAGGAAGCGATCCCAAATTCCGCGCTTGTCCTCACCCGGGGCCCCACCGCGAGCTCAGGTCGGGAAAGTTCCTAACATGCCGGGATGTGGCTGCGGCGGGGTGGGTGGCTCGCTGCCCACCCGTGGGGAGAAAGCGGATCCTCGCAGCCGCCCAGCCCGCGGAGCGCGCCTCCCGCCCACAGCCCGCGCCCGCCCCGCGCGGCCGCGGCCCTCCGACCCACCCGGAGGCCTCTGCGCGGGGCTGTGCAGAGCCGACAAGTTCAGCGCCGCCGCCTTCTCCCGAACCGTGGCCATGACCGCGGCGGGACAGACTCCCCAGTCCACGCCGCCGCTGCTGCCGCTCCGCAAACTGCGCGCCCGCGCCGGAGCCCCGGGTTAACTGGCCCGGCGCGGGGGCGGGGCTCCAGGGGCTCCGCCCCCTGAGGGTCACGTGCCCCCGGCCAGCTCCCAGGCTGCGGTCTCTGAACTCCAAAACGCCGCAGGCCACTCAAGGTGGGCCGTGCCCAGGTAAAAAGTACTTCTTGGGGCGCGGCCTTTCGAGTGCTCCTCGGCACTAGCCCGAGGCTAGACCCGCTGGGTCGAAACGTGTCCCTCGGGGGGTCTACCCTCGCCCCAGACCGAGTCTCCCTGCTCCAGGTCTTAGTGCCCTCACCTGCGAGTATTACGACCAGGTTGGCTGGGCTTTCTAATGAGGATTACCTGAACCGACGTTCAGTTTAGGATTTGAACCATAAATGCTTCCAAGTGTGTCACGATAATAAATGCTTCGAGTTTTTTCCATAGATCCCGGCCCTCTAAAGAGCAAACAAAGCCTTATCTGGCTCAGGAGAGCAATGTCTAGAGGTCAGAGGACCACAGCAACCAAAGATCATGGGGCTGCCTGCCAAGGAAATCTGTGTTGATTCTAAATTAACCCTGGGTCTGGTGAGCATGGGGCATGCTGCGGGAAGGGGAGAGTGGGACAGCAGGCTGCAGGGGGAGGAGGGAGAGGGTTGTTGCTGGAAGCACCTCGGGTAGTTGAGGCAGGGAGACCGGGGGCCCAATGCTGGGGTAAGTTTGCAAAGTTGAATGATGTAGGAGATCATTAACCCAATTGACGGATGCAAGTCCCTCCCCCCTTTTTTTCTTTTCCTTTTCTTCCTTTGAAGAATTTGCTCTGTAGACCAGACTGGCTACGAACTTGAGAATTTCTGGCTGCCTCTGCCTCCTGAGTGCTGGGAATAAAGGCATGTGCTCACTCGCATTGATCGCCCTTTCTCTAGCGCCCCATCCCTTTGGGGGACTGGAGAGATGACTCAGCAGGCAAGAGCTCTTGCTGCACTAACATAGGATCAGAGTTCGGTTCCCAGTACCCACGTACCTGCTCACAACCACCTGTCCGTAACTCCAGCTCCAGGGTTTCTGATGCCATCTTCTGGCCTCTGCAGACACCGGAACTCAAGTCTTCATGGCTATGGTTGCACAACTTCGGCTAACTACTGAGTCATCCTGGGAAAACAAATCTTGGCAAATACTAACATTGGATCTTTTGGAAAAGGCAGGATAGCCTAGTGACGATTTTGATATATTTTGTCATTCAGAGGCATTTTTCTTTCCCACGAGTTTGTGCTACCTTGTCTCTCCTACGTAGAATACTGGCATTTTCTATCTACATTGAATGTACCCAGGGAAGCCTAACCCCCTTCCCACCTTCACTGCACAGATTTTCCCTCATGCATTTGTAGCACTTACTAAACGCATCGTTATTCAGCCTCCATTTGTTTATTTTGTTTTGAGGTAGGGTTTTGCTCTATAACCTGCAGTGACTTGGCACTCACCGTGTGTGTAGCTCAAGCTAGCTTCAAACTTATGGCAGTTCTCCTGCCTCAGCCTCCCAAGTGCTAGGATTACAGGCACATTCCACCCAGAGCTGGCTTGAACAGTGTTTTTATTCCTTGTACAGATTGCTTTAAGATCACTTTCATCATTAGCTATTTCTCAAGCCGGTCAGTTATGTCTAACCTATGGGAAGAACTTCACTTGCTATAAACTGGTCTAAGAACAAACTTGTCTGAACCAGTCAAGAGGTAGAAAACAGAACAGAAAGTTTATGATTCATTAATCTATTCTGTTCTGGCACGAATATTTAAAAAAAAAAAACTCTTGTGGGGGGAAGGGACTGGGAGGAGAGGAAGGACGGGAAACTGTGGTTGGGATATAATCAAAATAAATAAATAAGCCAAAAAATGAAAGAGGGGGAAAGAGGGAGGCAGGGAGGGAGAGAGAGAGATCGAGAGAGAGATCGTCTGTTATTTCCAGCAATGTAAAACAGTGATGGTGTGGGGAGGGGGAATTCTTTTGTAGTTTTGTTTATTTTTGCAGAGCCGGGGCTCCAACCCTGGGATGCATATGCTGACAATTACTGTACCACTGAGCCACACCTGTAGCCTCAGGCAGGTTTTATTATAATTTCTTTTTCAACATAAAGGTTTTCTGGTTTTTATTTTATGTTATTTTTTTCTGAGACAGGGTTTCTCTGTTTAACAGCTCTAGCTGTCCTAGAACTCCCTTTTTAGATCAGGCTGGCCTCAAACTCCCAGAGATCTGTATGCCTCTGCCTCCCTAGTGCTAGGATTAGTACCACTACCACGCGGCTACTTTTTTTGCTTATTTTAGACAGGGTTTCATAATGTAGCTCTGGTTGGCTTGGAAATTTTATGTAGACCAGGTTAGACTCCAACTCACAGGGATCTGCCTGCCTCTTTCTCTTGAGACTGCTGGGATTAAAGGGCATGTGTAGGTTGGCCTTGAATTTCTGGGCTTAAGCAATCCTCCTGCCTCGGTCTCCTGCCTATCGGAGACTACAGGTGATTGCCACCTTGAGCACTCCTCCATAGCCTCTTGAGCACTCGGTAGACTCTGCAGTAGGTCCTGGCTCCTGCCTTGATTCCTCTTGGGTGATGGACTGAAGATGAAATATACTTCTTCCTCAAGTTGCTTTTGTTCACAGTGCTTCATCACAGCAATAGACACCCCAACTAAGACAAGCACCTTTTTTTCTTTTAAGACAGACTACTAATCCATTATACCACATTTTCTGTTCATCCCTGTGCTTCATTGCAGATCTCCCTCCACCTCCCCATCCACCCAACTTTGTGTATGCTCGAATTCGGTATGCTCTTGTGGGTGCACTTGCTCTCTGTCCGTCTCTTCAACCCCTCACACCCAGTTTGGGTTGGCATAGGGTCTGCCTTGGAGTGTGGTTCCTATACCAGGGGTCATACCTCTAAAGAAAACTGACTCTCTCCCAGCAGCTATCAAACACCAACAGCTTCTCGGCTCGAGATGGGACTTTGTGCCCACCTCCCCTCCTCCATGCTGGGATTGTTGTTGGCTTGAGCGTGGGTAGGTTTTACATGTGTTATCACAATCACTGTCACTTCATATGTACATCTGCCTGTTGTGTCTGCGAAATGCTTTTCTGGGGAGGGTTGTTTGTTTTCTGTCATCCAGGTTTCATGTTTTCCTTATCCATTCATCTATTAGTGGGCATTCTAGCTGTTTCTACAGCTTTTTGTTTGTATTTGTTTGTTTGGTGAGACAGGGTTTCTCTGTGTAGCCCTGGCTGTCCTGGAACTCACTCTGTAGACCAGGCTGGCCTCAAACTCAGAGATCCTCCTGGCTCAGCCTCCAGAGTGCTGGGATCAAAGGTGTGCACCACCACTGCTTGGCTGTTTCCACTTCTTGATGCTTGTGAATAATGCTCCATTGAACATGGGAGTGCAAATGTCTCTTAAAGATTCCATTTTCGGAGCTGGAGAAAGAGTTCAGTGATAGAACATTTGCTTTGAGGGGCTGGAGAGATGGCTCAGAGGTTAAGAGCACTGGCTGCTTTTCCAGAGGTCCTGAATTCAATTCCCAGCAACCACATGGTGGCTCACAACCACCTATAATGAGATCTGGTGCCCTCTTCTGACATGCAGGTGTACATGCAGGCAGAACATTGTATACATAATAAATGAATAAATAAGTAAATAATTTATTATGTACACAGAAGAGGGTGCTAGATCTCATTACAGATGGTTGTGAGCCACCATGTGGGTGCTGGGAATTGATCTCAGGACCTCTGGAAGAGCAGTCGGTGCTCTTAACCTCTGAGCCATCTCTCCAGCCCAGTATAAATAAATTAAAAAAAAAAAAAACTTGCCTGGTGTATATAAGACCAAGTTTCATACCCAGCACCTCAAATACACACACTCAAAGAGATCCTTTCTTCAGATCATTGATTATATACCCAGAAGTGAGATCCCTGTATCATACTGTAATTTTGTTTAGTTTTTTTGAGGAACTTCTCTTTTTTTTTTCAGTAATGGTCATGCCATTTTACATTTCCACCAGCAATGTACTGGAGTTCAGGCTTTTCTACATCACTGACATTTTAAATTTTGCATGTCTTTAATGATTTAGTGGTCCTGAGAATCTTTTCATTTCCTCCCAGTGATGAAGTTGGAATTCAGAGCATTGTACAAGTTAAGCAAGCACTCTGCCCGCCACCAACAGGAGATTACCTTGTTGCATTACAATATAACCCTTTTTCTCTTTGCAAGTGCTCTACTACTGACTTTTATATTCCCAACCCCTGACAAAATTTTAGGATTAGCCAGGAATTAGCTCATGCCTTTAATCCCAGCACTTGCGAGGCTGAGGCAGGCAAATCTCTTTGAGTTAGGTCTACATAGTGAGTTCCAAGCCAGTCAGAGTTACACAGTGAAACTCTGTCTCAAAAAACCAAACTCAAACAAACAAAAACCCCTTTGAGGGTTGGTGATATAGCTCAGTTGGCAGGATGTTTGGCATATGCACAACCCTGGGTCCAGTTCCCAGAACTGCATAGACTAGGTTGTGATGGCATACTTTTAAAAAGGAAGAAAACCGAGCAGTGGTGGCGCACGCCTTTAATCCCAGCACTCGGGAGGCAGAGGCAGGCGGATCTTTGTGAGTTCGAGGCCAGCCTGGACTACAGAACAAGATCCAGGAAAGGCACAAAGCTACACAGAGAAACCCTGTCTTGAAAAAAAAAAAATTAAAAAGGAAGAAACCATGTGGAGATTCTGAACTTGAAAAGTACAATACCAAGCCATGAGTGGTGGAGCACGCCTTTAATCTCAGCACTTGAGAGGCAGAGGGATCTCTAAATTCAAGGCCAGCCTGGTCTACAGAGTGAGCTTCTGGACAGCCAGGGCTACACAGAGAAACCCTGTTTGAAAAAAAAAAAAGATGATTTTGAACGTTTTTCACAATGTGTGTGTGTGTGGACACATAAGGTACAAGTCACAGCGCACATGTGAAGTCAGAGGACAGCTTCTGAGAGATCCTTACAC